TTGGCCCTTCCTTGCCTTAGCATCACAAGGTGGGTTGGAATACAGTAGGGCCTGCTGTCTGGGTTTCTCTACTTCCTATGTGCTTCTACCTGTGGGAAGATGTCAGTACTGTTCCCCTTAAATACTATCTCTATTCTTCTGCTCTCCTACTGAAGTTTGCAGTGATATATTACCCCCACCTGATAAGCATGACATAAACAGTTTCAAATGAGTTCTCATGGCCTACCATGATTGAGTATACATGCCACATCCAAACTGACTTCCTGAGTCCTCTTGAATACACACGTGAATTTTACTTGGAGCAAAACAAGCTCCTGACTTCTCTTCACATTCTATGAAAACAGTTCTTATTTTTGTTTGCCTCCTTAATGAGCTATACACACATAAACACATGCATATATACAAATGCAGCCTTGCATTGTCTGCCTATTGACTATATCCTTTTAATGTACATAATATGGAGTTGTACATTCAGTCTTGTATTTTTAATTACTTTATATTTCTTCACTTTTTTGCCTCCCAAACTAGGTTTTTATTATCTTTGCAAGTGGACCTTATTTTGTATTTTGTACATATACATTTTCTGTTATTTTCTTTTTTCTTTATTATCCTTAGATAGTTGTACAAAGATTTTTTATCAACAAGTCAGTTTATACATTAGATGCATCTTAATATTACCCCTTCCATTTTCTATGTCAATGTCCAGAACACACTTTCCTGAACAAGACAGCCGGCTTCTTAGCAATCCAATAGGTCTTGGACTCACTTACTGCATAGGTATATAATATAAACTAATCCTTGAACTTCTTGGAATATGAACAATATACAAAAGAAAGGAAAGTGTGTATATACTTGTCGATCTTCTCATCAGAGGATCAAGCAATCTGGAGCGCTGCCACCATTTTCCTTCTTGGGGCACATAAAGCACACCTTACATAGACAACAATCTTCCACTCCCACTCAAGATCAGAGACTCAAACCTTGCCTCTAGTTCCAGCCATTACTCAACAGGAATACCACTGGTAGCAGAAGATCCTCTCCCATGAGCACATGAGTCCTCTGTGCTCATTATAAACAATGACATTGTGACAAACACTTGCCATCCTCGCTTGCTATTCTTCTAAGGAACCTCAAGTAGCTGCACTCAGAAGTACCAGGCGAATGAATGAAACCTGCCCACTCACTTACATCACAGAAGCATGAAAGCAACTGTTAAGATAAAACAGGAACAAAGTGGCCCACAGTGACCCAGAAAGGCCCGGGTGCTATTTCAAAGAACCCTATGGCACCCATCTTCACACACCGCTGACCTGTAAAAGCACTCCTTTATTCACCTCCTTCAAACAATGCACAAAGAAAGCAGGAGGAAGGAAGTTATGTTGCAATATTCTGGAACATAAATCTTGCCAGCCGTCCATCCAGGGACAGCATCCTGTTTTCCTTCCACATGGGTCAGTCCCTGGAGGCTACACCTATAGGCCTGGTGTTCTGTTTTTCAAAGCAGCTTCTAAATTATACCTAGTCACCTGCATTTATACACCCAAACACAGCTTGTGCGAGCAGAGATTGCTTTTTGTGAGTCTAGTTACTCAGCCAAGCTATATAATTGCACCCTAATACACAGCTTTGTTCCTACTCAGAGTTTACTCTTTTCTAAATTCAACTTCATCTCTGGTATTATTATTATTATTAATGTGAGGCTTAGGAAGTTACATAAAATTGAAACAGATTCAAATGCATGGGAGAAGCAGAAGGAAGAGATTTCTATGTTCTGTCTCCTTTCGTGCTATACCATTACATTGCCCTAAAACTCATGCTGCTTTGATGATGATTCAGAAATTCCATGGCCAGCTTCCAGCACTGTCATCAACATGGTACTTGAGTCAGGGAAAAACATTTAACTCCTCCATGCTTTATTTTATCCTTGAAGCCAAAGGTAGATAGTACTCGTTATTGGCAGATCAGCCCAGGAAGAGCTATGACTCCTTGCTCAAGACCAAGGTATTCGCCAATGTGAGGAGGCAGGGTTTTGAGAATCAGAAGGTGAGCACAGGTGGAAAATCCCAATGAGTGGTTGGCACTGACAAAGCACTGCTGTGGAATATGCTTGGTGAGAGACAACAGAACGTGGTAGCAGTCAAAGCCCATGTGGCATATGGACCTTATCTGCCAGGGAAGGCTTTATTTAGGAGTTGCACTTAATGCTCAAAATTTCCTTTCCGACCATAAAGAAGAGATGTCTGAGTTTAAAAAGCAAAGAGTGGAGAAGTCAGCTTACTATGCAAATGTCCTGACACTGCTGCTGCTGTGTGGTAACACAGAGATCTTACCCTTGACCTAGACAATGAAGAATGGGTCTGTGACATCATATAAAACCCTCGTGGAGACTTCTCTGAACAGTCATGCTTGCTCTCACACATCAGTCCTGAGGCCCTGAGCAGCTCCATAATTTGATATGGCTTCTCATTCTGTTTCTTTATGAGTAGTGTATAATAGTTGTATAAAAGAATGGATTTCATTACCATATTTTCATTTTTCACATCCACTAGGTTTCATCTCAGCCATATACCTTATGAACTTCATAAAAGGGCATTCTTAGGGACTTAAACAAACACAGGGTTCTCAACTTTGCCATGATGGTCATTTGCAATTGGGTAGCTCTCTCTGTTGTGTTGAGGTACTCCTCATATCTCGTGGGGAAGTTTGCTTCACCCCTACCCTACCCACGAAAAGCCAGTCGCTTCATCTTATTCCCAGTTGGAACAATAACACATACCTCCAGACACTGTCAAATGCCCCCAAGGGAGAGGGGAAGCGTAAAATTGCCTTTGGTTGAGAATCATTGGTTTAAAAATGACCTAATGAGAGATTAAATTAAATGAACCTTGTGTTTTAGAGCCTTGAAAACACTCTATCAGTGGTAGAAAGTTATATTGGGAAATAGAAGGAGTGTCATTACATAGATTGAGCAGCTATATATAGATCACTAGATCACTCAGCTAGCCCCTGAGAAAGCTCTGAAAGTATCAGCGGGAAGGCCCCAAGCAAACAACACCATACGACATACACGTCCATGCGGTCAAGGATCAACTTGTCTTGTCTGACACTGGCACACCTGGGAAGTACTGACTGCTACACTGCCTACCTCCACCTTTCAGTCATTCCCAATCCACAAAATGCACGGCATTCACCCAGGATAGAATAGGTGGAGCTGATCTTACATAAGAGGCCTGTAGAGATGGACATTTTTTAAAGTGCTGTTTATTTAATGCTACCTGACTGAGAATGGGCCTGTAACCTGGCAAGTGTACTGAATGAGGAATCTTCAATGTACCAGTTCTAACTGGCCAAGTCCTCACATGAACCTTCTAAGACCCGGCTGAGAAGCCTGGGAAAGTATAACAAACCACAAACCTAATGCAAAAGTGTTTCCTGCATCTTGCCGTCGCTCCCCAGACTGCATTCCCCTCATTGCAGTGTTCTTGTAAGACCCTCTTACTGCTCTGGACAGATTACAGAACCTTAACAGTACTAGCAGTACACGCACAGTCTCCGTTGTTCACCATCGATGCGGGCCTCCATGTCACCAACATGGAGAGGAAACATTGTGTTCTATTTTTAAACATATCAAGCAAAGGAGCAGCTTGATATGCCTTTGTAAAGGATGGCTGTCACCCAAATTCGCAATCTGTATATTTATCAATGATATTAGACTTTGAAGCCAGATAAATTTAGAAATTCAATGCCAGGACTTTTATATGTCAACTGTGTAATACGAGGGAAATCGCTTAGCCTCTCGGAGACTCAGTATCTTTGTAAAATCAAAATGATAATATCGAAATGATGAGTTGTTCTGAGTGCTGAGTGACCCAACATATAGAAAGCAGGAGTGTCCCAAAATATTGGCCCTTGGAGTTTTTATTACTGTCCTAATAATCAATATTAATATAGTCATTGCTCACTCTTTCAACAATCAGCACCTTTTATGTCATTCACTCATTCAACAATCAGCACCTTTTATGTGCTGGAAAGTGGAAAAGTTCAACTAATATTATAAAATTGGCTTCCCAAAAGACTCAAGGCTTCCATCAAACCACCGTGAAGATAACCACTAAATATCTCCATCGATGGATCACAGAGCTGTACATGTGCACCTGGTAGTGCAGCTGAGAAAACATGAGATGATGATGGTTGTGGTGCTAAAGGTTTTAATGTTGAAACCTGGTTGATTTGACAATTTTTATTCAATTCACTTGCATGAAATGTTTGTCTCTATAAGAAATGAGTAATTTTCAAGTAAATGAGTGCTGATCTTGTGAGGGGAAAAAAACCACCCTTCTTTTCTCTAAGTAACACTTTAATAGGAGTAGATTAACATTCTTTATTATAGGGTAGGTTTATAATGAGAGACTGGAGTCTGGGAGGTAATTCTCACTACTGAAAGGTAAATGAATTTTGGCTAATTTATAAGTACATGTGAGATTTGTTGAGTTTACAAGTTTCCATCATACAAAGAAATTAGGGGTATGAAGCAAAAATATAAGAGTAATACTCAAAAGTATTCACCTACTTTGTAAAATAAATAAAGGTAAACACCTAACCCTTCAGCTCCATAGAAACGATTTCTTACATATATTCACTTATAGTAGATACCATTTATTGCTAAGTCACTTTCTGTGGGAAATAGGGATAAACAGGTTTAGACTTTTGGTCTTCTTTGTCAGTTTCTTTCACAACCCCTTGTATTACAACACAGTTTAATGTACTTTGTAGTCAGTCTTTCACTCCTTAATTCCCAAAAACAATAACAACAACAACAAAATCCATCTTTTCCAAGTATTGTTTTTCCATGAAATAGAAAGTTGCTGAATATGATTTTAAAAAGATAATGTCCATGACAGCAAAGGAAAAAGGCTTTATGCACTCAAAGTAATAACCATGTTCATTTCGCCCAAGCCAAGGTCAAAGGAGAAATTAGGTTTTTCCAAGAAGGTCCTTACCTCAAATATGTTTGAAGGCTCATTGTTGTACTGGTTTGATATGATTTCTGATTGGTCGCTGCACCACTTCAGTCCACCCAGAAAGCTGTCTGTATCCAAGTCATTCACATCTAGTTCAGAAAGATCAAGTTCAGGAAGATCTGGGCAAAGAGGCTGGTCTTCACCCACCAGAGCAGCACACTGCAGGAGGCAGGAAAGAAAAAGAAAAAAAGGGGGGAAAAGAGCTTTCATTAACTGCAGGAATTTATTAAATGGCAGCAGCATGTGATAGGAATTAAACCTGGTTAAGTCGAAGACACCACTAAAGCTGGGCTCTGGGGCTTTAATCACCAGGGGAAATACCCTAAATTCTTTCCTCACTTAGATCCCAAAGGATAACACTGTTGGATGTATTCCATCGCAAAAGTCTACCTCCAAATCCATGGTAAATGCCATGTTTCCAAGAAGCTGACTTCTCCCAGTTAGAAGCCAGCAGGATTTGTTCAGCACTGACCAAGTTTCTGTCTTGTGTTTAAATATATACACAATGTTACTCTACCCTTAGAGGATATTTGCTTTGAGAGAAAGATACAGGCTGAACGTGCCTTAGAATGGCCCATCACACACAATGGACACTCAATAACCAACTGCTAAATGAAAAAGAAAGCACAGGAATTATATCCAGAAAACTTTCCTTTTAAGCATTAAAATCCATCTAGTTCATTTAGCAACAAATGATGCAAAAAAAAGTGACTTTTCTGTTCTTCCTCTCAAGGAACTTGCCTTTGACTCATCTATGGTTCTCTTGAATTGTTATTTAAATCATTTGCTCACAGTAGACTTGTGATGAATTTCTGGACCTCATGGTCAACAAGTCAAAACAAGTTCCTTGAGAGGAAGAACAAACAATTCATATTGTTCTATGTGGCATTTAGGCCTTTCACTATGAGTAACTTGCAAGGGGTGTGTGTATGTGTGTGTATATGTGTGTGGGGGCAGGTGGAGGGGTATTTGTATCACCTACCCCTTAGAAGAGAAAATCATAATTGTGCATCATAATTATATTTTGATCATTATTTAGGTTTATATAAGCCATGGATCAAGTGGGTTTCCATGGTGCAAGCCCTTTGAACAATTAAAAGAGAATTTAACAAAAATGAATGTTAGGTAGCTGAAGCATGCCTTGTCTGCGGTGGGCAGGAGCCAAGGGGAGGGGTACAGATGAGTGGAGAGAAGAATGGTGGGTGAGCACGGTCATAAGATTCAATGTATATAACTGACCTCAGACCTAGGAAACTTTAAAAGACAGGATGGGAGTTGGGGGAGAATGATGGAAGAAGTGACACTCGTCAAGATACACTGTACTTATAAATGGGCATGCTACATAGAACTCCCTTTGCACAATATTTGAAGATAGTAAAAAAATATTAATGGAAAAAACCCACAGTTTTTGGTGGTACTGCTGTTTGGACATAGAGCCTTACATTGCTATGCTAGCAGTCTGCACTTGAAAGATGCCTCTGGGCCTTTTTGCTTTAGTTTATTTTTTTAGGTAGGGTCTTACACTTTTTGTCAGAGTGGCCTAAACCATGATCCTCCCACCCATAGCCTCTTAAATAGCTTGCACCAAGAATGTGTCACCATTCTTGGCTTATTTGTTGCAATGAAGTCTCACTAACTTTTTGCCTGGACTGGCCTCAAACCATGATCCTCCAAATTTACACCTCCTAGGTAGCTGGGATTGCTGGCCTGAGCCACCATGGCAGTAAACAGGTACTTCTGTTTACAGTTATAAAACAATTACGATAGATTGAAAGGTCTAAAATATTCTCTACAGTGGCTGGGCAGCCTACCACTGAGACTCTTATAGATTGTTATATTCTTTGACCTCCTTTCATCAAATAGTGGTTTTACTTGCCACACTCTGCTATGTTCTAAGAAAAGTAGACCCTTTACCAATAAAGTGGTCTCCTAAACTTGAATTTGCCATCTAACTGTTGATTCCAGTCTGAACACAGAAAAGAACTCGGCAGACACATATGGTCCTGAGGTACGATGATATCAGAGTCATTAGAACTTTATCCACCTATGAGCTATCCAACTAAATCAAGGGTCTCATGCTCAGAAGTAGGGCCCTAATGCCTCTGCCTTCTGAGATCAGGAGAAACGCTAACTTGGTTCACATCAGCTGAAGATGACATTTAGATTTTGAAGTAAGCTTTATGTAGATCTTTCTTCTTGATCACCTTCGCAGGCCACATTACATGGGTCATAGACAGCAGTGGGGTGGTAAGTGACACTGAGAAGTAGGTACTGGGTAATAGAGTCAACAGTTGGTAAGTGGAGCCTGGGAGGAACCAGTAAATCTTCCCAAGGACCAATGAGGCCCAAGGAGATCCTAAGCAGCAGCTTCAAGGCAAAAGAAAGAGGAAGGGCTCTCCAGTCTATCAAAATACCTTCCTTATCATTTTATTGAGCTTTCCTTTTTACTATCTGAGCTAGCAGAAAGTTACAGATTGGTATACTCTACTGGGTTTATGAGTATAGGAGGCAGGTCTGAAAAGTAGCTCTTGTCCCAGTGCAATGTTCTTGTTTTGTTATGGGTGTAACACCTCCCCAGCTCCATTCTTGCCTACAAGAACTTACTTATCCTCCAAACACAAACAGTCTCAACTCATTCTCAACACCTGATGCAGAGACCAACGGAGCACTAGGTTAACTGTGCAAGAATAAAGAAACAACTTAGGATTTCATTGGTGATGGTGGTGGGTTAGTCCTTTAGAAAAGAAATCACAAACAACTGAAAAATACAATACAAAAGTAAAACTAAGTTAAATAAGGTAGCTGTCTAGGTATGGTGTAAATGTCTGTCATAGGGCTCAGGAACTGTGTTGGAAGGCTAAAGTGTCAATTGACTGACTTTTAGAGAGCTTTTCTCTCTCTCTCTCTCTCTCTCTCTCTCTCACTCCCCCCACACTGTCTTTTCCTGGCATAACTTATATAAAACCCTTTAATCATCTAGAAAGTAGTATTTGTAAATAACTTTAACAACCTTTGGCTAGACCATCTCAATCTGTCCATTTGTTGTATTATTCTATCCTATCTCCACTCTGTCTCTGTCTCTCTCTCTGTCTCTCTCTCTCTCTCTCTCTCTCTCTCTGATTGCAAAAAGGGCCCTTTGCTTTTGCCAATGTTGACATGCGAATGAAATCAGCATGCTTCTGAATGTGACATTATACTGCTAATCTAAAACACATTAGTAGTAGCAAGTGTTCATGTTATTAATTTATATTTGGCCTTTGGATGATGCCAGGCTTAACTGTGCAAGCCCTGTAACTGTCCTCATCTGACATGCTGATATTTACGGCTTCCCCACACATCTGTAACAGGTGTGCTTTATTGCAATTACACAGACACATTCTACTGCCTCTGTGCAACACTGACAGCTATTCACTACTGTAGCCTTAATTTTATAATACGATTTAAGAGGATAAAGCAGTCACTAAACACAAAAGGCTAATTATTGTACGTTATTTCACCCCAACAGACTTTTCTCTTAGTTAAGGAGCAGACAATAAATTAGCTTAACTGCACTGATGATAATGAATCATTATAATTAAGTATAATTTTCCATTAACCTTTTGGAGATTTTGGTGCCATTGATGGTAAATTTTAAAGAGAGTAAGAGAGGAAAAAAAATAAAAAGAAAGAGTGGACTCAGCCACATTAATTATATTAATGAAAGAAAAGAGAATCTTAACTTTTTAAAAAGAATTAGACAAGACAGCGGGGAGAGGGTGGAGGAGACTTTAGGAATGGCAGTCAGTCTTGGTGGGTGTACATCAGTGAACTGTCTCTATCAATCTCAGTAACCATATTGTACATCACCTTCATTAAACTGCAAAACACCGAGAACTCTCTGAGTAGCTCTAGTGATGGTCGCTTTTATTAACCAATGTGCTGTCCTGTCATTATGTGCAAAAGGGCATAATGGGTTTTAGGAGGACAGCAAACATTAATGATTCAAAAAATGAAAGCTGCCTCCGCTCCCCGCTGCTTGTAATATTTTAGCCGGGTGAGGTGATTCCCAGAGCTGTTACCATGAAGGCAGGACTTTCCAGCGCTGGCGGCTTACAGTGTTAACCCTGACTGGCCAGTCACAGCTGACCCAACACTCAATCCCTGGCTGGACAATTAGCCCTGAGACCCCTCCTCCTTAAGAAAACCATTTCAAAGGCCACTGCTCTAAATAGCTCCCCGTGCTTATTTGCAAATAAATGTCTGCAGGCATGCCAGGGACTGAAGTAGAGCTTCCTGATTTTCCATACGATCGAGTTCCCCCATCAACCAGCAACCTCAGAAATAATACATGACGGGGGTGGGTAAAAAACTGGAAAGAACAGCAACTGAGACCACAGTGCCAGCCAGACTACCGCCGCCCGCAGCAGCAGGACACTCTGGCTGCTCAAACAATCAGGACTTTGAAGCCACTTAGAACTCTGACTCTTAATAGCTGCCGGACCCATGAATTATCCATATCTATCCCTGCCTTACCAAGAAATCACAACAAGATAAGCACCATTACAACCCACACCTAAGATCCGCCGAGGCAGAAGGCAGAGCGAAGGAAGACACCATCAGCAAAACCCAGCGAAGAGTTAAAAGAATCCGGGGCACGCCTGGCTAGATAGGAAAAATGCATTGGCAGACCGGCCTTGGCCAAATGATTTTCACTTTAGATGCGTATCGTGGGACCACATGGACATCTTATTTAATCAAATCACGTGCAGTGCACGGCCCTCCCCCTTACCCTACGTGCCCCCAGCTACCCACAGGAAGCCGGCACGCCTTTGCCAGGATTCATTGTTAGCAGCTCTTGGGATCCTCGGTGCAATTCAATTCGGGTCCATCT